GGAGCGCCTCCGCTACGCGCCGCTGGGCTGGTCCAAGACCTTTGAGTTCAACGAGTCCGACATGCGCTGCGCGCTCGACACCATCGACACCTGGGTCGACGTCGCCGCCCACGGCCGCGGCAACCTGCCCCCCGAGCGCATCCCGTGGAGCGCCCTCAAGACCCTCCTCGCGCAGACCGTCTACGGTGGCCGCATCGACAACCCGTTCGACCAGCGCCTCCTCGAGTCCTTCCTCGACCACCTCTTCCGCCCGCAGGCCTTTGACGAGGCCTTCCCGCTCACCCCCTACGCCCTCGCCGACGCCGGCGATCGCCTCACCGCGCCCGAGGGCAAGTCGCGCGAGGACTTTGCCCGCTGGGTGCGCGAGGCCATCCCCAAGCGCGAGACGCCCGGCTGGCTCGGCCTCCCCGAGAATGCCGAGATGATGCTCCTCGTCGAGGCCGGCCGACGCTCCCTCGCCCGCCTCCTCAAGCTCCAGTCCATGGAGGACGACGAGGGCCTCCTCCCGGCCTCGTCGGCCTCTGCTGCCGCGACCGAGGCCCGCCAGCGCTCGGCCGACCCGCGGCCGGCCTGGATCCAGGCTCTGCATGCCTCGGCCGACAAGTGGCTGCTGCTCATCCCGGCGCCCGCCAAGGCCCACGCCGAGGCGGCGGTAAGCGAGGAGCAGCTGCAGGACCCGCTCTACCGTTGTTTCGATCGCGAGATGCGGGCCGGCAGGTCGCTGGTGACCAAGGTGCGGCACGACCTGGGCCAGGTCATCCAGGCCTGCCGCGGCGAGATCAAGCAGACCAACTACCTGCGCGCCCTCATCACCGACCTCTCCAAGGGCGTCGTGCCCCGCGACTGGCGCCGCTATGCCATCCCCGAGTCCGTGGGCGTGGGCGCCTGGCTCGTCGATCTCGCCGAGCGCCTGCAGCAGCTCGAGCGCCTTAGCGGCGACATGCTCCGCTCGCCCCGGCCGGCCCTCACCGTGTGGCTCGGCGGCCTCTTCTTGCCCGAGGCCTTCATCACCGCCACCCGCCAGGCCGCCGCTCGCGCCCACGCCTGGTCCCTCGAGCACCTCGAGCTCCACGTGCTCCCGTCGGCTGCCGCCGCCGCCGCCGAGCCGGATGCCTTCGTCCTGCAGGGCCTCACCCTCGAGGGCGGCGCCGGCTGGCGCGAGGATCGCCTGGCGATCGTGCCGCAGCTGTTCACCGCCATGCCCGACACGGCCTTTGTCTGGCGCCACACCCCCGACCTCGCCCGCGAGCCGAAGCCGACGACCCCGTCGGTCAACGTGCCGGTCTACATCAACGGCAAGCGCACCGAGTTCCTCTTCGACGTAGACATGCCCTCGCCGGCCGACGTCACGCCCGCCACGTGGTACCAGCGTGGTCTCGCCCTCACCGCCTGGGCACGCGACAGGACATAAGCTATTGAAAGAAAGAAAGGAAAATTAAAGTGGCCCCCTCGGTCCTCCTCTTCTCCCCTTGCCTCCCCCAACTCTCTCTGTTGTTTTGTATTTTTTTAAACATCAGTTCTCAGGCTGGTCCGCGTTACCCTATCCCGTCGCCCTTATCTCTCTCCTCTTGTCTGTCTCATGAGCTCCCTTCACGTTATGTTGCCGGCAAGACCCAGTCAAGAGGATTCCAGTCGAACCTGCCTCCAAAAAAACGCAAGCGGTGCAAGGCGAGCACCCTATAAATGCAGGCCTCCTTGCACACACTTTTCTCAATAGCAATACCCCACCGCTCTACACCTCACCCTCTAAAGACTAGACAGCCCACTTGGCCCAGCCAACAACCTAACGGCCAAACCCGCACACCAAGCAGGACTTTGTTGGAAAAAAAAACAGCAAGTGTTGTGGACAGTAAGGTACAGTGTCAAAAGGGGTGGTTGAGGTCGTAGAGGAACTGCGCGGTCTGCTCGACGAACTGGGTTTTGTTGAGCTGCGCGAAGGACGAGCATCCCAACTCGTACACTGGCACGACCGTGCTCTCCAAAAGCTCCTTGGCGTCGACCTGGGCCTCGAAGAAGGTTCTCTGGATGGCTGGTACCATAGTACGACCTGAACAGCGGGTTCAGCATGAAGTAGAGGACCACCGGCACGTCTGGCACTTCCAAGAACTCCGCAAAGATCTCGAAGATGTTGGCCTCGGACTCGACCGCCAGGCTGTGCGCCATCGGGTAGACCAGGGGGTAGTGCTGGCCGTTGTAGGTCATGTTCATGATGTGCTCGAAGGGGTTGCCCAGCGTCATCCAGCGCCACAGCTCGACCTGCTCGTGGAAGACGAGGGTCAGCGCGGCAAGGTCGGTCCTGTCGGCCTTGATCAGCTGCATGATGAACACGGCGTCGGGCACGTTGAGGCTTGCCAGTAGTTGAAAGTACTGCATGAACTGTGCCACGAACGTCTGGTTTCCCCGCAGCTGAGCGAAGAGGGGATAGCGCGGGCTAATGATGGACGGCAGGTCGTGACACGACGCCGTCTGTCCTGGCACCGCCGCACTCGAAGCCTGCCAGCCAAGCAGCAGGAGGCAGCCAAGCAGCAGGAGGAGAGAGACAGGCAAGCACTCAAGCGTCATCCCCATGGTGTTGGCTTCAGCGTCGGGTCGAGAGAAGAAATGGGAGAGGAGAAATAGAAATAGGGGTTCCCAGCAATAAGCTCACCACCTGTCCCAACTTCTTTTGCCCAGTTCCCCTCGCCATTTGAGGTTGAAAGGTCCCAACTTCTTTTGCCCAGTTCCCCTCGCCATTTCCCTTCCCCTCCCGATCCTTGAGGGTGGTGTCTTGGGAAACTTCTAACGTGGATCCTGGCCTGAAATTGCACTCTCTGCCAGCAGTGGTGAAGTGCGCTTCGCCTGGGCAGGGAAATGGCGAGGGCCCTCTCCAGTCTTCCCCTCCCGGGAGCAGTGATGTAGGGGAAGGAACCCCTGCTGCAGCCACGCCGCCTGACGACGTCATGCATCAGGTTTTGCGCGAGCTGACCGAGCTGAAGCGTCGTGTCACCACGATGGAGTGGCTCCTGAGAAACTCCTCTCATCTTGGTGTTGTTTTTTTGCATCCTGCATGCTGTTTTTGAGAAACAATTTCCTTTATTGTTTTTAAAATTGTGTGTGGCACATTTGACTGTTCAGTGGACACAACAAAATTCTGTGAGGTTGTATCTGCTTATGAGTAGCTCCACTTGTTCTCTGTTGTTGAGGCAGAAGCTGGTTGTCAGATTTTGTGATATGTTCCCATTCATTGCAGTTGGTGTAGGCCATCATTACAACACTAATGAGCCATGAACCTTGCACTCATTTGAACTGAGAGGTCACAAATGACTGTGGCCATTATGCTGTGTGTGAGATTTGACATTCTTGATTTATAGGGCAGTTTTTAAAGATTTGGAACAGAATCTGTGATATTGACATGCTAGACCACTGCTGATAAGTGATATTGAGGGACTGGAGATAAAAAAGATTTCACAAAAACTTGAAACTCGCACATCCAGTTCATGGTCAACCTCACATCATTTGGGCTGAAATGGAGCACTATTCCTGAAGATGAAATTCCACCACAACAAAGCTCCATCTCACACTGATAAAATCACTCTTAACTCCACACATTCCAAGTTTTTATGAAATCACTTTCATCTCAAGTTCCTCAAATCACTTATTAGCTGGAGTATAGCATGTCAAAATCAAAGATTCTGAACATGTAGTCATTGCATATGTGTACACAATAAAGCTAGTGTCAAACATGTAGTATGTGTATGTGATAAAGTAAGTGTCTGGTTTTACAGTTTTTGTTGTTGTGTATGCACAGGTGCAAGTCACTGTGCCATCAGCCATGGCAACAACAAGGAACTGTTGAAGGTCCTGAAGGAGGTAACTGCCCCATTGCATATATGCTATTTTCAAAGCCCATTATGCTATGACATTCTATTGTGTATGTGTATGCAATAGAAGGTTTGCTTATCTATCTCCTCCTAGCCCCACAGATCATGTGAAGATCCCAGTTACAGCATCACATCTCTCATTATGATGGTATTTTAATCTGCCATTTCTCAAGATACTCCCAATTTGTTGTTATTTTTGAATTAAAACCATTTTTGTGTTGTCTAAACCATTTATATGGGCTTAAACTCACAAACAAAATCACTTTTAAAATGACTGGACCTCTCATTTCAAATACCACAAGTTATAAGGGATAAGAGCATGTATAAGATGGATGACTCTCTCTCCAATGGATAAATGCAACTTTCTGAATGAGTTCAGCTTGAGCACAACACAGTATCTGTTGCAGATTTACACCCCTCTGTGGCTACTTTGTGCACCACAACTCCTTCCATGGACCCTACCAAGGTGGTATCTTATGCTCCATGGCACCTTTCTTTTCCTCAGGTCGGATGACTGTTGTTGTGTTGCCTTTGCATATTTTCAAGGATCTGCAGGCTGTGAGCAATGCCCTGGTGGAGTTCGACCCGCTGCGGGCAAAGCTCTCCAATGCCGCCCTCGGCGCTGCCCGCAGCACGGAGCAGCTGGCCAGGCGGCGTGGACCATATTTTATTTGCATAAAATAGAGATGTTTAGCACACGGGGGGCCAGCTAGTGGGTGGAGCGGCCAATGGAGACGCCCACCTTGACGAGCGTCTCCAGAGGCTTGGCTGAGTTGGCCAGCAAGTCGGCGTCAAACTCGATCTTGCCGGGCTCGAACAGCACCAGCACAGTCGAACCTCCGAACGCTGCCCCCACAGTTAATATCACGTGCGCACCGCACACGCACACACGGACCGATCATGACGGGCCGGGGGGGGGGGTGCGCACCGAAGTAGCCGTGCTCGTCGCCCTTCTTGATGGTCTGGCCGGGCGTGGTAGTGAAGCAGATTGAGCCCACCTGCGACGCAATTGTTGGAAGCAAGTTCACCACTAATGCGTGCGCGTATGCGTGGTGTCGTACCATGGTGGCGCCAATGGCAACAAAGGTGACAAGGCCGAACTCGTCCGAGTCGATGGGGCACACCACACGCTTGTTCTCCGTGTAGACGTCGACCGACGTGTTCACCGCCACGGGATTGACCTGTGTCAAGTCGTAAGTTTCATACTTCGTTAACCGACCGCTGCTGATCGCGCACAGACCGGGGCGGGGAGAGCTCGGTACGGTGAAATAGGTGCCGTCGATCGGGGTGAAGGGGCGAAGGGTGCCGCCCACGGGCATGTGGAACCTGTGGTAGTCCTGCGGGGCCAGACGAGCGATGACCAGCGAACCGCCCTCGTAGCGCTTGGCCTGCAATGGTATATGCAAGACGGGGGGGAGAGAGAGATGAGGGTCAATTGGAGGGCCGACGCTGATGCGGGAGGGAAGGAGTGGGCGGGCGCGTACGAGGTCGGCGTTCTGGAGGAGGCTGGTGAGGGTGAAGTGGTGGCCCTTGATCCAGATCTGCTGGGCCTCGGCGATGGTGGGGAACACGTGCATGCGGCTATCGGCCGGCGACACCGCGATTTTCTGCCCATTGATTGATTAATGGGTCGCGCAAGTGAGATGGACAACGCCAACGCAACCACCACGCCGAACAGCGAGCCGAAAGAAGGGGGGAGAGAGGGAGAGAGAGAGAGGCGTACGGGGTCGGAAGGCGAAGCGAGGGGGCGAGCGCTGGGCTTGAGCTTGCGGTAGAAGAACTCGTTGAAGTTGGTGAACTTGTCCACGGTCTCGAGCATCTGTGTGCACGCCCCGGGTCCGGGCCACAACAATAAGAATAAAAAGAGGAGAGAAAAGGAAAAGGAAAAGGAAACAGAAAAGAGGGGTTGGTGACGCACCTCGTCACGGCTGAGCTGGTGGAACTCGATGAAGGGCTCGATGTCCTTGATGGAGGCCGGGTTGTTGTACTTCTTGCCCTGCTTGTTGGTCATCGACTTCATGATCTTCTTCACCGAGCTGCTGTCCACGGCTGTTTGTTTCACATGTCCCTCCGCGGTTAGCACACGGACACGACGCGACTACACGACACAACGACACAGCGACACGACACGAGCGCTGGGGAGGGGGGCTGTGTGCGGTACCGAACTTGGCGCTGCCGGTGTACATGACCCGCATGGCGATCTTGATGTAGTTGGGGATCTTCTCCTCCTCGAGCTTGCCGGTCTCGCGGTTGTGGACCATAATCTCGGCCGGCTTGCGCTTGCCCATCTCGCCCGTGGGGACCGTGAGCCGCGTGTTCCAGTTCGACACCAGAGCCGCGCCGGCCGACTGGGCCTCCGACGTCGACTACGCCCCGCCAACACCGCGACGTCGACCACCCCGTGAGAATCGATCAACAAGCGAAGGTGGTGAAGGTGGTGAAGGTGGAGTGCGTACGGTGGCGAAGGTGGTCCAGGGCAGGTTGACGTCCTTGGGGAGCATCTTCTCGACGAGCTGCCTGACGCTGTCGCTGGCGCTGGTCAGGCGCTCGCCCGACACGAGACCGTAGAGCTCGTCGAAGCTGATCTCCCCGTCCTTGTTCTCGTCGAACGCCTCCACCTGGTGGTGCACACCGCGAGCCAAGTCGACTCGATTAGTTCACGACAAGTGCGCATTCCTGAGTGCCGTGTGTGTCTGGTGTGTGGTGTGTGGTGTCTGGTGTGTCTGGTGTGTCTGGTGTGTGTACGAGGTCGTGCAGCTGGTCGTCGCTCATGGGAGCGCCGACACCTTCGAGCAGACCGGCGAGTTCGAGGTGAGAGATGCCGCCATCGCCGTTGAGGTTGAAGTAGTCGAAGATGCCCTTCCAGAAGCCCTTGTTCACCTCTGCCATGCGCGATTGAGAAAACCAAAATAACAGTTGTTGTCATTTGTGAATTGGGGAGGAGCGCGGCGTGCCTTCGGCGGTGTACACTCTGTACTTGATCTGGATCTCGCCGCGGGACTTGGTCTTGTTCTTCTTGAGCATGGTGACGGGGAACCAGCCCTCGAACTGCTTGGTCGCGTGAATGTCAGACAACTCGAGCTTGGCTTGGCCGATGTAGTCGTTCGACGACGCCTGGTTGGTGGGTGGGTGGGTGGTGGTCATAGAGTGTGAGGCGAGAGGATCCAGCACACGCACACGACGTCACAAACAGAAGCGAAGGGCCGCGGGCGAGGTAAAGTTCACCTTGTCCCAGTCCCAGACGTCGAAGAGGAGCGCATAGTTCTTCTCCAGCTCAGGCACCAGCCTGGGCGATGGTGGCAAACAAACGACATTGAGCACAGGCCAAGCCATCATAAAACAAAAAACAAAACAAAACAAAACAAAACAAAACAAAGATGAGCCACGTACACGCGGCAGGTCTCCATCCAGACGGGACTGCGGTTCTTGCGAATGACGTTGGTCGTGTGGAGCTTCCTCTCGCCCAGGCTGACCTGCGCAGTCATACAGGTCCAAGCATTAATTGCAAATTAAAGAAATGCAAAATGTTTTGGCGACCAGATTATACGGTACCGTGCAGAAAGGATCGGCGGATCCATTGAGATCCATCTTGGGGAAATCCCTGCCGCTCATGACTAGCGTTACCGGGGACGCGTTAGCCCCCCCAAACAGGACAGCCATGGGGAAAGGTCAAGGGGCCGTACTGGTGACCTCCACCACCGAGTGGTAGGACTGGGTACGGGGGCTGGGGTGCTGCATCTTGATCTGAAAGCTTCAGGCGATTCGCTTTCGAGACGAGTCAAGTTTCAAAGCTTTGGGAGACCCACGGGCTCAATTTACCGTAACGCCATGCTGGTTAAGGGGGCGGTAGTGTTGTCAGGGAACACATTTTCTTTTATTTTCTCGTGTCTCTTTCCGGGGATTAGGTGTTCTTCGTTCGCCATCTGGGAAAATAACCGGACTAAGCCCACCAAGGTGGGAGATTGGGCGCAGAGCGTAGCAGATTTACACACACAGCCCTTGGCAATGGAACACGCCGCGATGACAACCGAAGAGCGCTCGGCGGCTCTTATGCGAGTCTACCACTTTGCCGACAGCAAGCTCAAGGAGACCCTCAAGAACCCCGAGCTCACACTCAAGCTTCTTGCCCTGGCCCGCGAGGTACAATCTCCCCCCCCCCCAATCCAAAATCGCATCTACTCTCATTTAAATTAATTGACATGCTGATTTTGTGGCTCCATTTGCATTTACCGATTAAATCTAATTTGCGATACAGGCGGGTGTTGAGGATGGTTGCGACAAGGCCGTTGGCAATTTGCTCTACGAGACCGCCGGCAAGTTCCCGGCCGGTGCGCTCGAGCATCGGGCCAAGCTGTGCGCCGTGATCGGTAATGGCGAGCTCAAGAAGAAGGAGCAGCTGATCGAGGCCTTCAACTACTTCAAGAACCTCAAGGGCGACTTCAACGAGGACGCATTCAAGGCCACCGCCGGCATCGGGCTGGAGGTGACCGACGATCAGATCGTGGAGGCCATCCGCGCGCTCATTGGCGAGCGGGAGGAGGAGATCAAGGAGCGCGGCACGTGGGTGTGGATGGACCTCTTCAAGGTGCTCAAGGACCGGTTCAAGTTCCACCAGAAGGAGGCGCGCGAGCTGCTCGAGAAGGAGTTCGGCCCGATGCCCAAGGGCAAGGAGCCCGCCCGGGCCAAGCCCACCGACGCCGCGGCCGTCGAGGAGGCGCGCAAGAAGGAGGAGCGCGAGCGGGAGGAGCGCAAGATCAGCCTCAACGAGAGCATCAAGCTGCACGCGCCGCGCGACAACCCGTTCTGCAAGAAGCGCCCGGAGCTGCTCGAGAAGCACCTGCGCGAGACGGGCGGGCGCGTGGTGACGCGGTTCCCGCCGGAGCCCAACGGGTACCTGCACATCGGGCACGCCAAGGCGATGAACCTCAACTTTGGCTACGCCAAGCGCAACGGCGGGTGGTGCTACCTGCGCTTCGACGACACCAACCCGGAGAAGGAGTCACAGGAGTACATCGACAGCATCACGGACAGCGTGCGGTGGCTCGGGCACGAGCCCTACAAGGTCACCCACGCGGCCGACTACTTCGACCAGCTCTACGAGTTCGCCAAGGAGCTCATCCGCCGGGACAAGGCCTTTGTGTGCCACCAGACCGCCGACGAGATGAAGGCCGGGCGCCAGGCGCGCCGCGAGACCGGCGTGCCGCACCCGAGCCCATGGCGCGACCGCCCGATCGAGGAGTCGCTGCGGCTGTTCGAGGACATGCGGATGGGCAAGTTCAAGGAGGGCGAGGCCACGCTGCGCATGAAGCAGGACCTGACGAGCCACAACCCGTGCCTGTGGGACCACGTGGCCTACCGCGTCAAGTTCGTACCGCACCCGCACGCCGGCGACAAGTGGTGCATCTACCCGTCGTACGACTTTACGCACTGCATCTGCGACTCGATCGAGAACATCACCCACTCGCTGTGCTCGCTTGAGTTCGAGGTGCGGCGCGAGTCCTACGAGTGGGTGCTCGACGCGCTCGACATCTACCGCTCGCCGCAGATCGAGTACAGCCGGCTCAACATCACCTACACGGTCATGTCCAAGCGCAAGCTCATCCAGCTCGTCGACGAAAAGTACGTCACCGGCTGGGACGACCCGCGCCTGCTCACCGTCAACGGCCTCCGGCGACGCGGCTACACGCCCGAGTCCATCAACGCCTTCTGCGAGCGCGTCGGCGTCACCCGCACCTTCAACATGCAGGACTACGAGCTCCTCGAGGAGTGCTGCCGCCAGGACCTCGAGGTGCGCGCCGACCGCGCCATGGTCGTGCTCAACCCGCTCCGCGTCGTCCTCACCAACTACCCCGAGGACCGCGTCGAGGACCGCGCCATGCCCGTCCACCCCGACCCCGCCCAGAACCGCGGCACCGTCGCCATCCCGCTCTCGCGCGTCGTCTACATCGACCGCAACGACTTCCGCCTCGAAGACTCGCCCACCTACTACCGCCTCGCCCCCGGCAAGGAGGTGCGCCTCAAGTACGCCTACAACATCCGCTGCACCCAAGTGATCCAGGACGCCGACGGCAACGTCACCGAGCTCCGCGCCGAGGTCGACCTGGCCAACACCAACAAGCCCAAGGGCAACATCCACTGGGTGGCCCAGCCGGCCCCCGGCGTCGAGCCGATGGCCATGGAGGTGCGCATCTACGACCGCCTCTTCAAGTCGCGCCTGCCCGAGGGCACCAAGGAGGAGCCCAAGAACTTCCTCGACGACATCAACCCCGACTCGCTCCACGTCATCCGCGGCGCCTTGGCCAACCCGCACCTCAGGTCCGCCAAGCTCTACGACCGCTTCCAGTTCGAGCGCGAGGGCTACTTTGTCGTCGACAAGGACTCGACCGAGGACCACCTCGTCTGGAACAGGATCGTCACCCTCAAGGAGGACAAGCTCAAGGACGCCAAGCAATAGATGATCATCGTCGTCCCTCCCCCCCTCAAACTGTAACTGGCCCACCATGAATGCTACTCGTAGTCATCGTGAGCAACAAGAGCGTTCCTCAACATAGACAACAAAGAAAGCGAGAATCGCCAACGATGAGGTGGGATCGTCATTACGGCTTCTTCCGTGGCCGCAACTCCGCAACCCCGCGTGGCCCACTTCTTTGCGCGCCAAGAGATTGAATCGCTCTGTGAGACCATTACAAGGATGCGAAGGACTGCTGTCTTCGGCGTGACTGCTCAGGGTGGCCTCTCTTTGGGTGGAAAGAGCGGCGCCCGATCTGCTACGGCTCTCTTCAGATCATCCTCTCCGATTGCCGCTACTAGCGATCGCCGAACGTATTCGGTGGAGAAGAAGCAGCCCAAGGTGCTCATTACTGGCGCGCTGGGGCAGATCGGTACCGAGTTGGTGCCGCTTCTCAGGCAGCAGTACGGAGCTGAGAACGTCGTGGCGAGCGATGTGCGCAAGGCCAGCGGCCCCGTCGGTGATGGAGGGCCATTCGCCTACCTCGACATCCTGAACATGGCCGATCTCGAGCGCCTCGTCGTTGAGCACAAGATCGACTGGCTCATTCACAACGCCTCCATCCTGTCGGCGGCCGGCGAACGCAATCCGCAACTCGCGCTCGAGATTAATGTGAAGGGCCTCACCAACGCGCTCGAAGCGGCCAAGAGGCACAACCTTCGCATCTTCGCGCCCTCGAGCATCGCCGCATTCGGTCCATCGACGCCGCGCGATGCGACGCCCGATCTCACGATTATGCGTCCCACCACCGTCTACGGTGTGTCTAAGCTCTATGCCGAGCTCCTTGGGGACTACTACCACCGCCGCTGGGATGTAGACTTCCGTTCGCTTCGCTACCCTGGCGTGCTCTCCTCCGTGGCTCCTCCTGGTGGTGGCACCACCGATTACGCCGGTACCACCTCCCTCTTCCCCATTCATTATCTCTTGGCTTTTCTGATCTTTCCCCCTACCTCGCACTTCGAAACAACAGTGGACATCTTCTACTGGGCGCTGCAGAAGGGCGAGTTCAAGTCGTTCCTCAACAAGGACAGCGCGTTGCCCATGATGTACATGCCCGACTGCCTCAAGGCCACCACCATGCTCCTCGAAGCTCCCACCGAGGCCCTCAAGCAGCGGTGCGTTGTCAAGACTCTCTCCTGTTCGCCCTCGATTACCGCCGTGTACGCGTTCGCTCACTCCAGACCGCACGTGCCTGCGTGCGTGTGGCACCACGCAGAACCTACAACGTGACGGCCATCTCCTTCACTCCCGAAGAGCTTGCGGCAGCCATCAAAAAGCGCATCCCTAACTTCCGCATCACCTACGAGCCTGGTACGTCTCCACTGGGGCAGCGCTGGTGTAGGTGACCAACCCGAGCGAGCGCTAACGCATAGTTGCCGTCTCTCTCTCTCTGCAGACTTTAGGCAGGCGATCGCCGACAGCTGGCCTGCGAGCTTGGACGACTCGATGGCCCGGAAAGACTGGGGTTGGAAGCACGATTTTGATCTCGAGGCCATGGTGGACGGTACACGCACCCACAATGCCCTTTCCTCCTCGCCCGAGTGTGAATTCGCTGCTCACCACCAATACGCCTCTCTTGCCCGCCGTTTGGTCATACAGACATGCTTGCCAAGCTGAGGATCAAGCTGGGCATCAAGCAGTAGAGTAACGTACACACCAGCCATACGCACTAGACCTCGCTTCTCGAGGCCATTTTTATGTAATAAACGAACAACGCTTGTGGTCAGCCGTGTCAACGGGTGGCGAAGGTGCTGGTGCGGGGATGAAGGCCACGGTGCTGATGTTGACCCGTAAGAAGCCGAAGAACTGGGCTACGGGGTCAATGGTCACCGTGATGCCGACCGACATGACCTCGCCGTAGCTGTTGAGGCTGCACGCGAGGCCAGCGCCCCGGGAGGACTTGAAGATCGTGCGCTGAGAAGGACCATAGTGCTTTAGCGTTCAACTGGCCGTCCAACTCCACGATCTACAGAGACAGTGAGCACGAAGTTGGTAGATAGGGCCTCCTCATCATCAAGTTCACCAGTTCCCCGAGGCCATCTCCCCAGACGCCGCCAAGGTGCTCCAGCGCGTGCTGCCCAACCCAGCCCCTCCCGCAGCTGGAATTGGGCGAGTACGAGGAGGTCATGCTGCAGGTGCGTGTCACCATTACCTTGTGGTGTGATCTGTGTGTCTCGTGTGCGCGTGCGTGCGTGCGTGCGTGCGTGCGTGCGGTCGGTGCTCATCATTGTCGCGTGTGCCAAATGTCATCAGGACTATGGCACGTCGGAGCGCGAGCGGCAACCACGGCAACGCAAGGCGTGTGGCCTACGACGAGGACGAGGGGCTTCCGCCTGGCCTGCACCCCAGCAGTAGCCGCCTACCTCTTCCCCTCGCCAGCGGTAACATCATGGAATTTAATAGATCAAACTCCTTCATCGACCCAAGCACCCCACGCTTCCCCTCTGAACACACCCACCCAAGCACACTCTGCGTGTCGTCCATGAGCGCACACACGCACCAGTGGCCTAAAGAGTAATGTCGTTGTGGTTCGTTTGTTAAGGTTGTGGAGGAGGGAAGGGGATTGATTGTTTTTGGCTTGTAGAGGAGGGAAGGGGTCGACCGTTTGAAGAACTTCGCGGTGCGTGCAGTGCGAAGCCGATCGGCGACCAGAGGCTGCCCACAGCAAGCTGCGGGCATGAGTGCCAGCTGGTCCCCCACGAGAAATAAGTTTAATCTTGATGTGAAGCAGGAACGCTTCACTACCAGAGATTAAGCTGATAAGAACAGATACTACACTTGATCTTAGCCAAAAGGCCGAGAAGATACTTTCCCTGGTGGCCTCTCGCCGCTCTTGACCCGCCCCGCGATTTTGCACTTGTGGGTTGGCAAAAGCTGCAACCATTTTTGTCGACACACACAAGTTGTTTGATGAAGCGCGCTACGGTGTTGTGTCCTACGGATAGGACACTGCAATCGAGCGTCACAAACATCACGCCCCTGATGTCCCCTTTAAGGCCACACTATACTTGTGGGTGATGGCAGGGATTCAAGACAGCAGTGTTGTGAGCTTGGCCAAGACACAGTGGTTTCCACCTTTTGGTGCCAAAGTGAAAAAGGGTAAGGGGGTACCAATAATAGAGGGCTGTGGCAAGCACCAATGATAATCACTGCAAACACAAGGGGTGCAGAGGTCTGAGATTGATTTCAATAAGGAGGGGAGGTCAGGTGAATCATGGAGGTGGCTAATAAGCTGAGCTTCTAGCAAGGTTGTTTCAACAGATCTCAAAAGAAGAGGGTGATGGCTGTAGTAGTGGTTTAGGGGTAAGTAATGTGTGGTAGAAATGTAAGTTGGAGAAGCTGCATAACGAGTGGTGTGGGTGAAAGTTGTGGAATTTTTAATCCTGCTGGAGGGACTATTGTGGGACAGAGTGGCGCACTTTTTTTTCCTTCTTCCATGGCCAAAAAGAAGAAAAGAAAAAAAGAACGGCTTGCTTCCAGACAACAGTGATCGGCACAATGGAGCTGCCCTCTGGCGATGGCGAGAAGGGCAGGATTTACTTCGGTGCGTAATGCCCCGCAATTGATGCGTTGAAAATTTGATAAAGAATTTCGATTGCTAACCGGGCGGGGCGGCTTTGCAGGCACTCTCGAGAAGCAAGGCCAGCAGCTGGTGCAGCAGCAGGCCAAGGAGCCGGAGGGGCAGATGGAGCTCGAGACGCTGCCCTTTTCGCACGGTATCGCCGAGTCACAAGAGCGCCACTCGGCCCTCCTCGAGCAGCTCGAGCTCAGCAAGCGAGCGCGCCAGATTGCAGTGCCCACCAGCGACCCCATGGTCCGTGCACGCCTGCGCGAGCTGGGCGAGCCCATCACCCTCTTCGGCGAGCAGGTACGCACGCATCACTCCTTCTTCTTCTTTTCTTCCTCTCGCCTTTTCCCTCTCTCTTCATCTACTTGCTCTACTTCTCCTTCTTCTTCTTCTCGTGAGAAGAGAGAGACTGAGCGTCTTGTCGTGTCTCTTCCCTTTTACTCGGCCCGCACAGCCGCCCGAGAGGAGAGAGCGGCTTCGCGAGGTGCTGTCGCGGATGGACGTGACGCAGGCCGTGCCAGCCACCGCCGCTCCCGCCCCACTGGCGGCGCCCGCCACCGGCGCAGCCGGCGCCAAGAAGCGCAACGACAAGGTACCTTGCGATGTGTTTGTTTGTCTCTCTCTCTGCCCGATGATCTCTCCCCATTCTGATTCTCTCTTCTTTTTGCTCAACTGGGCCGCTGCTTCGATCCAATCACGCGTTGGTTGGTTGGTTGGCCCAGATGCAAGAGCAGCCCTACTTCACGGAGGGAAGTGCCGATCTGAAGGCCTCGCGCCGCCTGATCGCCGACTACTCGCTGCGAAAGTGCGTTCACCACCACCACCACCACCGCCCCACATCGACCACCCATGGTTGCGTGCGTGGATTGGATCCTCCGCCTTCATTGGGTTGCTAACTGCACGCTCTCTGGTTTCGTCTCCTCTCCTCTCCTTTGTGTGTACCAGAGCCCAGCAGCGGGTGGGACGAGCCAAGAGGAAGAGAGAGGAGGGCAATTTCGAGGAGGAGCTCCGCAAAGCAGCCGCCAGTCGCGAGTGTCTGCGGGTGCACCCTTCCCACCCTCCCACGCCTTCCTCTGTTGGTCGATCCCACGTGCGTCCACTTCTGTCGCTCACTCGCGCCATGTTTGCTTTGCTCTCTGGTGGTGGTGGTGGTTTGGGGGGGGGGCTTGCAGAGGTTCTCCAACGCGGCCAGTCAGATCGGCGACGACAGACCTCTGTCGTACTGCGCCTTCTCTCCCGACTCCTCGATCCTGGCCACCGCCTCGTGGAGCGGCCAGTCGAAGCTGTGGAGCGTGCCCTCGTGCGACCTCAAGACCACACTCAAAGGTAACCTCCCCCGTCGCCTCTCGCACGCGCACCTTCCTTCCGGCTTCGAAGCTCACGCGTGGTGGTTCGGCCCGCTGTGCCGTCCCCTTCTTGACCAGGCCACGGGGACCGTGTGGGAGCCATCGTTTTCCATCCGCGCTCGTGCCTCGGACAGGAGTCCGGCGCACTCAACCTGGCCTCGTGCTCCTCCGACCGCACCGTCAAGCTGTGGTCGCTCGACAGGTACTCCATCACCCCTCAACCAACCCACCCCCACCCACCCACTCCGCTCGGCTTGGCGTGGCGCTGACCACTGGTGACGTTATTATTGGTTCCCACAGTCCGAGCCCCATAGGGTCGCTGGAGGGACACACGGACCGAGTGTCGCGATTAGCGTTCCACCCGAGCGGACGGTTCATCGGCACGACGGGGTTCGACAAGACGTGGCGCCTCTGGGACGTGGAGAAGGGCCGGGAGCTGATGGTGCAGGAGGGCCACTCGCGCGAGGTCTACGGGATCGCCTTCCAGTGCGACGGCTCGCTCGCCGCCACCAGCGGCATGGACGGCTACGGCCGCGTGTGGGATCTGCGGACGGGGCGATCAGTCATGCTCCTCAAGGGCCATGCCAAGTCGGTACCGTGCACCTTCTCTCTCTCTCTCTCTCTGGATGTGCTGGGCGTGCCGTGCACGGCGAGGCGTGTGGTTGCGTGCTCGTGTGTGCTGACGTCGTCGTTGTGGCCTGCCTTCTCCCGGGTGTGTGTGTGTCATGTGTGTGTATGTGTGTGTGCAGGTGCTGGGCATCGACTTTGCGCTGAACGGCTACCAGCTGGCCACGGGCTCGGACGACCACACGGTCAAGATTTGGGACCTGCGAAAGAAGCGATGCTCCTACACCATCCCGGCCCACTCGTCGCTGATCTCGCACGTCAAGTTCCAGCCCAGCGAGGAGGGCCAGTTCCTGCTGACGGCCTCGTTCGACGCCACGTGCCGCCTGTGGTCCACGCGCGACTACGCGCCCATCACTACCCTCGCGGGCCACGAGGGCAAGGTGCTGTGCGCCGACATCTCGCCGGATGGGCGCTACATCGCTTCGTCGTCCTTCGACAGGACGTGGAAGCTGTTTGCCGAGGACCTCGCCTACTTCTGATCAGCTGAGGTGGACAGACCAAAGAGCGAAGTGTTTTTTTGTTAACAAAAATCACCCATTGGTAGCACACGGTGAACTTTCCGAAGCCGATCGCGGGAAATCGGGGCCTGGTGATTTGCTCGTTCCCGCCAAGCCAAAGTGGTTGCGAGTGTGTAAACGAAGTAAAAGGAGAAGATTGCCACGATGAGCGCCACTACACCCGAGAGCTTCAACTCTGCCGCTGCCCGTGCGGCTCGTCGCGTGCAGTGCGTCGCCAGCCACGTCCAAGCCGGCGACCAGGGGCTGGTAGCGGTCCAGGGCGTGTCGGCCACCGAAATGGTGGATGGCGTGACCACATTGCGCGCCGAGCGTGCCGGTGGATCGTTTGACGTGCGCGCCATGACCCACTTGCTCGACGGGGGAGAGGAAATCACGCGCATTAAGGAAGAGTACGTCGCGCTACTCGAACGCGAGCCCCTGATGCTCGACGCCGGCTTCTACGATCGCACGAGGGAGCAGGCCCGTTACCGCGTGATGCAGAAGATGAAGCGCTTCGGCGAGCTCAAGCCCGAAGACCCTCTCCGCTCCAAAATCTTCAACGACCTCGTGGCCCTCCACGATGCCTCGTTCAGCACCCGCATGGGCGTGCACTACACCCTCTTCATTGGTGCCCTCACCGGCCAGGCCACCAAGGGTACGTGCGAATGCACGAACGATTACCATTGCCATTCGAATCAGATTACTCTTGTTTTTATCCGCACTTATCTCCGAATTACTTATTATTTATTTTATTATTTTTTAACAGTTTTTTAAAAACTGAATCGTGTGGCGCACGGAAACAGAGCTGCAAGAGAAGTACGTGCCCGATGCTCGCAAGCTGCGCGTCATTGGCTCCTTCTCCATGACCGAGAGTACGTCACGCAAGCCCGCTCTGCCTCTTCCCCTTCTTAGCGCCTGGCCTGCGGCGTGTCTCACCGTCAGTGCTGTGGGGCAGTGGGCCACGGGTCCGCCATTCGCCACTTCGAGACCACCGCCCACTTCGACAAGCAGTCCGACACCTTCGTCATCAACACCCCGACCCTCACGGCCACCAAGTGGTGGATCGGTGCGCAACTCTTCTTATCGGCCCTTCTCAGGCGAGGCAACTCACCCGATTCTTCTTCGTTCTTCGTTCTTCTTTGACGAACCAGGCGGCGCGGCGCACATCTCGACCCACACCATCTGCTTCGCGCGTCTGATCATCGACGAGAAGGACTACGGCGTGCACTCGTTCCTTATGCAGCTCCGAGACCGCGACGGCAACATCCTGCCCGGCATCACGATCGGCGACTGCGGCAAGAAGATGGGCCGTGACGGCATTGACAACGGCTGGCTCCAGTTCAATAACGTGCGCGTGCCGCGCAGCCAGATGCTCCAGAAGTGGGCCAAGGTGTCCCGCGAGGTACGCCCAACCGCCTCACGTCCACTGTGCGACTTATGTTGACCTTCGTTCTTCTTCTTCGTTCTTCTGCAGGGCGTGTACAGCCAGCCGCCCAAGGCGCAGCTGGCCTACGGAGCCCTGCTCGGCGGTCGCGTGTCGCTAATCCTCAACTGTAACGACCAGCTCAAGCGCGGTCTCACCGTGGCGATCCGCTACTGCGCCGTGAGGCGGCAGTTCGCCAACAAGCCGGGGGCTCCCGAGACGCAGATCCTCGACTACCAGACCCACCAGATCCGCCTCCTCGAACCGCTCTGGTACCTACCACCTTCTATTTCTCATGGGTCTGGGCGCAACTCACCCGTGGGCGTGTATGCAGCGGCGCGTTCGCGTGGACCTTCGCCGGGCGCACCATGGAGGCCCAGGCCACCAAGCTCCAGCAAGATCTCGCCAACGGCGACCTGACGAACCTGCCGGATCTCCACGCCACGTCGGCCGGCCTCAAGGCTATCTGCACGTGGTACATCACGGCCGCGCTCGAGCAGGCGCGCCAGTGCATGGCCGGCCACGGCTACTCCGCCTACTCGGCCCTGCCCACGCTCGTCGCCGACATCACCGTCAACTGCACGTGGGAGGGCGACAACACCGTCATGCTCCTGCAAACGGCCCAGGTGCGGTTCCTGCCCACCCGGCTCCGTGTTCTTTTCTTTCTGCTTACTTGCGTGTGTTGTGCCATGTGCGTCGTGTGTCGTGCGCTTCAATTTCGGTAAATGCAGTACCTGGTCAAGTCGATCTCGCGTGTCTTCGAAGGAAAGAAGCTGGTCGGCAGCGCGCGCTACCTGGAGCGCACTCAGGAGATCCTGACCCAGTCACCCCTCAGTGTCTCCTCCGCCAGTGACTATGTACGTGCTCCTCCCTCTCGCTGCCGGTGCTGGGCGAAGAGATGAGAGGCTTTGCCATCAGCAACGATGTGGAGGTCAGAGTCTATTTTCCGCGACTGACTGACCCGTGACCGCCCACTCCGCGCGTAGGAGAACGAGGAGCTCGTGGTGCAGCTCTATGAGCGTGCCGCGGTCAAGAAGATCGTGCGCGCCGCTCGCGCGGTGCAGAGGGAGATCAAGGCGGGGAAGCCCAAGGACGCCGCCTTCAACGCGTGCCTGATTGACCTCGTGCGAGCCTCGGAGGTACGCTCCGCCCATCGCTCTCGTCGCCCTTCGCAAAAAGGCCGCACAACAGGGGCACTGACCGAGATGGCGCGATTCGCGCATGTGTTGTGCCACCTCGCCAGGCCCATTGCTACTTGTACGCCGTCCACGCGTTCCTCCAGCAGGTGCGCGCTGTCGAGGCCGGCCCGCTGCAGGCGGTCCTCAAGAAGATGTTCCTCCTCTTCTGCCTCAACCGGGTGGCCAACGACGCCTCGACCCACCTGGCGGACGGCTGGATGAACGAGAAGCAGCTCGAGCTGCTCCAGGAGAAGGTGAGGCAGCTGCTGAGCGAGATCAGGAAGGACGCCGTGCCCCTGGTCGACTCCTTCAACCTCCCTGACTCCCTCGTCAACTCGCCGCTCGGCCGCTTCGATGGTGACCTGTACAAGCACTACTTTGCCGAAGTGCGCGCTGCGCCCAACGCGGAGATCAAGGTTCACACGTGCCAACATCAGCAATCGCGCCCCACAGCGATGATGTTTCTCACCATCTGCTCTTCGTTCTGACACGCAGGCTCCCTACTGGGACGAGCTGGTCAAGCCCTGCCTGAGGAAGGACCTCTAAAACCCGACACGCTAAAATATCTGTACCAAGGCAACAGCGCTGTCAACACCATAGTGAGATGCCCACCCAGAAGATCTGTTGTAGGCGTTTGTGGTGTGCTCCATTTTTCCTTGCGGCGGGAAATTTCGTGCGTGCGAAGGACGTTATTGGGCAATTCGGTCCTGCCAATTGGCAGCGAGGGGGTGCGAAAATTCGTGTTGGTGTCTCTACCTTCGCGCTCGTGCTCCCGCCTCCCTTCGTCTGCTCGTCTGTGCCGGCTCTTCTGCCTCTCTGCCCCCCCCCCCACAATAATCGAGGAGCGGATCGTGGAAGCAAGTCTCTCCTCCTCTTCGAAGACGAAACGTGCCTCTCATCCTTACGTAACCGCGAAACCGCTGTGAGCCATCGCATTGCGCCACCAATCGCCGAGAGATGCAGCTCAACCACCTACCGAAGAGGAAATTCGATGACTACACATCCAGCGCCTACCCACCACACCCACAAGGTTCCCAGCCCTCTTCACGTCTTTGCGTAGGATGGCGCGATTGGGGCAACAGCGTATTGCGTTGTTATTGTTATTCGTGTTGTTGTTTCATGCGCAGCTGTTGCGCACGCGTGTTGAGCTCTTCTCTCCTGATCGACTGGCCTAACGTTGGTTGTGTTATTTGACACGCGTGCTGTACGGCCTACAGACGCACAGGCCGGTCTCATGGTCTCGCCGAGCCACTACGCCCAGCTCACAAGCCTAGCACAGCAGCATCAACTACAGCCCTCGCCGCAGCCACTACATTCTCTCCACCCACTGCCCCAGCAGCATTCTCTCGCCCCTTCGCACAGCTACCCCGAGACGCAGGACCTGCAGCCTCCACAACGTACGTAGTAGTGCTCATGTGTCTCGCAGTTGCTGCTGCCCGCTGTAGCCATTGCCGCTGACCCCGCGGTGTGCGATTGTGTAGCGCCTGTGGCGGGCAAGGCGAAGAAGCCGAGGAAGAAGAGGGAGAAGGCGCCGCGGAAGGAGAGGAAGAAGAAGAAGGAAGAGGAAGAGGCCAAGCCCAAAGTGCCGTTCCGAGGTTCGCGGTTCGAGCTGTGGCTGGAGACGCGGTTCGAGGAGGAGCTGCTCAAGCTGCTCGAGGTGCCCTTTCTCGAGCTCTCGGCCAACCTCCTCAACGGTGCGTCGTGGGCCATGACGCGGTCGGCCGAGGAGCGGATCTACAAGGACAAGTGGCGAAAGCGGTACCACGTCTACTCGGCAGCGGTGGGCGACCTCGTGGCGGACGCGTTCAACTTCCACATCCGCACCAAGAACCTCGACACGGGCGAGTACAACAAGCTGCCCTTCATCACGCCCGACAAGGCCCTCTCCTCGCAGCTCTCGTCCTACAGCAGCTACCTCTCCCTTCTCGGCGGTGCGCGCATCAACCCCGGCGAGGACCACAGCGGCTACCCGCCGGGCGAGCTCGCGGGCGAGGACGCCTGCACGCTCTACGAGGGCTCTGACGTGTCGTTCGTACTCGTGGGCCACCTGGCCGGCCCCAACCCAGCAGCAGCGAACCCGGCCGCCGCTGCTGCTGGAACTGGCAGCCTCCACCTTGGCTTTGCTCCGGCGGCCGACGGCCACCAGCAGTCCGCCGCTACGCTCCAAGCGGCGTACACGCAGGCGCATCACCTCCAACACGTCCCCACCGACGGCAATCATCCGTAAGTGGTCGTCTGATGTAACCATAGCTCTCTCTTCCCTCCGGTCTCTCTCAACGCGACTACCTCCGCTCGCGTTCCTGGTGGAGGCATCCTCTTCGGTTGACGCCTCACCACCTTCTCTTGTACATGAAGCTCCCACATAAAAATTGCCCCTTGGCACACGTCGGCGTGACACGGCACAGAAAAGGCGGGAAAAGTAGGGCCAGGACTCGCGAAATAACAGAGAGATGGAATCGCAGACTGGCGAGTGGGCTGAACCGCTCGATGCGCCATTTGATGGTAATGCCCTTAGGGAGTGATCGTACGCAATTTCTAACGCATTACTGATCAGGCCCCGCACCAGCCCGGCCCGAATCTTTCAGCTTTGGTGGTGCCGCTACTCCGTGGGCTCCCTTCGCTCAGCTCGCTGAGGGCGCCAAGCAAACGCCAGATGGCTTGCATAATGAATTTCTGCAGTTTTGTCGCGAATCAGGGATCGAAGACATCGCCAAGCATTCGGGAATCGTGCAAAATGGCGAGCTGCCCGTATTCAAGGCCTACTCCTCCACGACCGGTACCTCCCATCATTGCGGGCTCGGTGCGCTTCGCCTGGTGCTCACCTTCCACCCCGCCGTGTAGTGCCTCCCGCGTTGATGCCTCTGCCGACAGAGCCCCCCACCACAGCAAGCCCGTTCCAGGCGCCTTCCCTGGCCGACGACGCGCTGATGACGATGAAGCGCAAGGAGCCCTCCACACCACCAGGACCCGTCGCGCTCGCCACAACCACCAGCTCGGCCGAGGTCGCGTCCTCTCCCCCCGCCGGCTCGAGGAAGAAGCGACGCACGCAGAACCGGGGCGCCAAGAACAAGGGCCTGCGGCACTTCAGCCTCAAAGTGTGCGAGAAGGTCCAGTCCAAGCGGGTGACCACCTACAACGAGGTGAGCCCTCCCCATTCCCCTCTTTTATATCGACCGCCGTCGTGTGCCAGCGACGATGCCGGACTGCGACTGACTCGCGCCTTACACTACACGGACGCGGCGACCAGGTGGCCGACGAGCTGGTGACCGAGTTGCAGATGCTCGCAGCGGCGGGCCAGGCGGAGGGAATGGGCAATAACGTACGCACGCCGCTTTCACACTCGCCTTGTCTCTGATTGCACCGGGCGCCTTACAGTCATCATCACAGAAAAACATACGGCGGCGTGTCTACGATGCGCTGAACGTGCTCATGGCGATGGACATCATCACCAAGGAGAAGAAGGAAATACGATGGGTGGGCCTGCCCACCCACTCCAAGCAGGACCTGCACAAGCTCGAGGTGCGCCTCGTCTCGAAGCCCATCGCCGTTGTTCGCGTTGGTCACTTACCACCATAGCACGCGTGCCTTCAATTATAGTCCGACCAGGAGGCACGCCTTGAGCGGATTCGCAAGAAGTCGGACCACCTGGAAGAGCTCGTGTCGCAGGTGCGGGACACGTGACGATCATCGCCTGTCCCTATAGAACGCGCACGAGCTTCGACGGACTGACACTCTTCCCCCCCCCCTGCAGCAACGCTCGTACGCGAATCTGCTGGCGCGGAACAGCAAGGCCGACCCCGGCCACATGGCGGACGCGAGCGCCAAGATCCACCTGCCGTTCATCCTCGTCAACACGCGCAACACGACCGAGATCGAGTGCGAGATGGCCGAGGACCACTCCGAATACTTCTTCAACTTCAGCGCGCCCTTCGAGATCCACGACGACACCGAGGTGCTCAAGCGCGCCGGCATGGACCGCGAACAGCCCGGCACACCCTCCCACACCGTGGCGCCCATCCGGCTCTCCGTCACCTCTCCGCACACAACCGCCACCGCCAGCACACTGCCCCGTCCGCCCATGCCCTTCACATAACATAACACAAAAACACACCCCTTTCACTCTTATCGCGCGCGTTTGCTTCGAGAACGTGATTGTATTCGTACCAACCAACCAGCCAGCCAGCCAGCCAACAAAGAAACGTTTGCCTTCACGCATCACGAGGAGGAGTTGTGGTGGTGGGGCGACGCGTAGAACTGGTTCTGCCAGGAGGCCTGCGCGCCCGGCGGGTACATGGGCGGGCCTCCGGGGTAGGCCTGCGGCGGCATCGGGAGGGGCATCGGCAGCGGCATGGCCTGGGGCTGCGCCTGGCCCTGGGTCTGGCCCGGTGCGGCGGGCATCGGCATCGGCATCGGCATCGGCATGGGCTGTGCCCCGGGGTAGGCCATGTGGCCGTAGGGCGTCCCGTACGGCACGAGCGAGGGCAGCTGCTGCTGCGGCGGCAAGTAGGCCTGCTGCCCGTGACTCGCCGCGCCGTAGGCCGGGTTGCTCATGACGTGGTCCACCAAATGCGACGGACGCTGCAGCGGCGTGTACTCCCCGGGCGCGTGGTGGCCACCACCGCCCGCCGCTGCCGCGGGAGCGTAGGGCATGCCATGGGCCATGGGCGGCGCCGGTCCACGAGACCAGCCGCCGCCCGCGTAGCCGCCCCTGTTGGCGGCCCTTCGCCGGCCGCGCTCGCCCCTTCCTCGCCCTGCGGGGGCAGACGAGGTGTGGTGGGCCGGCGCGCCAGTGCGGAGGGCCATCTCCGCGTTGCCCTCCCATTCCTGCGTCTCTGCGTGCGCCTGCCGCCGCTTGTCCTGCAGCTTCCTGCATTACGGCGTGGCCCAGTCGCGCTGTGAGCAGAACAACAAAGAAGAGCGCGCATGCGAGGGGGGGGGCACACGCACTTCTTCCGCTGTCGGCGGTGGAGGGCCTCCTGCTCGTCATCGGAGAACTCCAGCTCCTGGCGACCCACAAGCCACGCCCATCAGTCATCATCGGGTTACCCGCGCACGACACGCACGACACGATGAGGGGGAGCACGCACGTCCTCGGGCGGCTCCTCGTCGTGTTCGCCAGAGGCGTCGGAGCCGCGGGTGTAGATGATGGTCGGCTGCACGAAGCAGGAGGCCTGAGGCACGTAGTAGACCGGCGTGCCGCGGGTCAGGAGGGCCTCGCGGCCCTGCGCCCGGAGCCGCTCGACGTGGGCGTTGAGCACCGCGTAGTAGGGCTTCTTGACCGGGCCGAACACCTCGTGGACCCGGCCCAGCGGCGTGCGGTCGTCGAAGCACAGCGCGTTGTCGATGTCGAGCGTCTGCCGCGCGGGGTCGGCCGCCACCACGAGGAAGCCCTCCACCATGCCCTCCACCGCGCCCGCCAGCTCCAGCGCGGCCTCGGCCGGGATCACCACCTCCTCCTCCACCGCCTGCGGCGCCTGCGTCGACGCGTCAGCCAAACGCAAAACGAAACGAAACGAAACGCAAAACGCGAAACACGAAACACAAAGCACAAAAGAATCGAATTGTTGTTGAGACGCGTACGAGTTCGTGCTTGGTGCGGGGGATGTCGCTGGCCTCGAAGGGCAGCCGTGCGCCGCCCTTGCCCGAGCTGCCGCGCTCCTCGTTGTCGTCGGCCGCGCCGCCGCCTCCCACGATGGCCGCCTCCTCTTCGTCGTCCGAGTCGTCGTCATCGTCCTCGTCGTCCTCCTCTTCGACGTGGGGCAGGAGCGCGTCGGGGTGCTGGTGCACCGGACGCACCGCCCCGGAGAGCGCCCACGCGGGCACCTCGGCCGCCATGGCCGCCGCCTGCAGGTCGTCCTTCACCACTTCTTCTTCTTCTTCATCGTCGTCTTCTTCCTCTTCGTCCATCACCTCCCGGCCGCCGCCGCCGCCGTGCAGCAGCGCCTGAGGCGGTGGTGGCCCGGCAGCTGCCGATGTGAATGCCGAGGAGGGCACGGCCGCCGCCGCCGCTGCGAGTGGCGGTGCAGCTGCCAGGGCGTGCTGCTGCTGCTGCTGTGGGGTGCTGCTGACCGCGGTGCTGAGGGAGGTCGACGCCGCCGCGCCCATGAAGGGCTCCTCATCCATGGCCGAGCCCAGCGGCGTCGTCGGCGCCGTGGTGGTGGTGGTGGTGGTGGACGGCAGTGGAGTGGCGGGGAAGGAGGAAGCGGGGGCACCGGCACCAGCCTCGACACCAGCCGTGGCCGTGGTGGCCGTGGCGAAGGCGAAGGCGGCGGGTGGGAGGTCGTCGAGCAGCATGACGGCGCCCGTGGCGGCGGCGGCGGTGGAGGAGGAGGGTACGGGGGCGGACTCCAGAACGGCCGCAGGGACGGGGGCGGGCGAGTCCTCGAGATCCATGGCTCCTCCGGCGGAATGGTCCCCGACTGCCACCGGGGTGGTGTGCTGCTGCTGTGGGTCGCCTTCCATGGTTGCCCTTTGCTTCTTCTTCTTCTTCTTCGGGTGGCGCGGAGGAGATGGAAGGAGGGAAAGATGTCTTGTGAGAAGCCGCCCGGAACCAGAAAGGCCAAATACTCCGCAGGCCGCACATGTCCGCACGCCATCTGTGTCGGCAGTCGACAAAAGAGAGGAAAAGAAATAAATATTGATTAACTTGGATTTTCTGTCGACAACAGAAAAAGAACAAGAGAGATCGCTGGGGCGAGAGTAGGGGAGGGAGATGACGACGCTGGAGATCACTCTCGACCGCTTCGACCGCAAATACCGACCAGGCGTACGTGGGCACTTTGCCACCCCTTTCTGACCGGAAGAAGATGAAGTAATCATCTGTCCCTGTTTGTACTACTCGCGACGTGGTGTCGGGGCGACCCGCCCGTGTAGGACGTGGTGACGGGGAAGGTGGAGGTGGTATGCGAGAAGGAGGGCGAACAACACACAGGCGTGACGCTGGGCGTGGAGGGCCTGGTCTCGCTCGACCCGGGCGGCCTGCGACTCGGCAGCGCTGCTCGCACCACCCAGAACCTCGTCCAAACGCACCAGCTCGCGCCCGGCGGCAAACTATACGCACCCCCTCCTCTCTGTTTCCTTTGGGCCCACTTCTTTTTCTGGCTGCCCAGTGATCGTAGCGGCTCAGCACCACCGCACAGTGGGTGGAGCGAGGGCACCGAGCTTACCTCCTCCACCGTTGGTCTTGGTGGTGTTGTGTGGGCGGTGGACAGGCACTGTCAAGGGCATGAACGAGTTCCCGTTCCAGGTTCAGCTGAAGGCGCTCACGGGCCAGGAGCTCTTCGAGACCTTCCACGGGCTGGCCATCTCCATCAAATACTACCTCAGGCACCACCACCACTTCTGACCACCATCACCACCATCATGCACCACCACCACCGCGGGGCTAACGGGCGGCCTGCCGTGTGCGCGTAGGGCGACGTACACGCCGACGGGCTTCCTGGCACGGAAGATGCAGAAGGAGGCCGAGTTTGTGATCCACGTCGACGTAACGCCCCCGCCTCGCCTCTCGTGACGGACCGCCTCCGGAGCCGTAGCTAACCGCACCACCACTCACTCATTGATTGCGTGTCCACGCGCGCAGACGTTGGAGGAGGTGCCACAACCGCGAGAGGTGTCCATCCTGCTGAGCTCCAACGAATCCAGCCAATTCAAGCAGGTGCTCGCCCTCCTTCTCTTCTTCTTCTTCTTCTTCTGATGGAATCGTCGGCCTCGCTTCGGGGTGGTGCCAATGGTGGAGATGGTGGTGGTGGCGGAGGAATGCGATCATGATGCGCGCCTGATTTATGGACTATCTCTCTCTTTCATGTACAGCATAATTGATCGCTAACTACTTTTTAAATTCCTTGTGGTCCCCACAGGGCAAGGGCGCGACGAGCGATGAGGAGTTCTCCGCCAGGGGCAAGTTCCTGACCACGACGTGCCACGTCAACAAACCCCTCTCGGGGGAACTCACCGTGGAGGTGCGCCCGCATCTTGGCCAAGACCCAAAGGTCCACCAAGGAGCATGGGCCGCCTTGGACAAGTGCGCTGACACTGTCGGGTGCGTGCGTGCAGACGACGGTCGGGTGGGCGATTGACCACGCATCGCTCCACCTGATGCGAATTGAAACGGTGGCCAAAGAGGGCGGCGGCTTCAACAAGCAGGGTACCCTGCCCTCCCATCTCCACCCCCTGGTTCCCCCCCTCCGCGCCCATGGCTTCGAGAGCCTCTGACGCCCACAGCCCTCCCCAACGATTGCTCATTGCTTGGGGGGGGGCGTGTGTGTGCGTGCGTGCTGGCCAGTATCGGAGATCCAAACGACGCAGCTGGTGGACGGGTATATACCGGACAGGCTGGCGGTGCCGATCTATCTGGTCTTCCCGCGACTCTTTACGTGCCCGTCCCTCCACGCCGCCAACTTCAAGATCGAGTTTTCCGTCACCCTGCAGGTCACCCTCAAAGGTACCTTGCAAGCAAAACAGAGCAGAGCTCCCCCTCTTTCTCTGCACATCAACACCCACTCACCGCACTCTCTTTCTCTTTCTCTCTCCTCTCTCCGCGGCCATGGCAGGCGGGCACGTGCTGAAGAAGGACTTCCCGCTGCTGCTGGTGCGAAAGTAAAGGGCCAGACGTGCATGCGGCCGGCGATGGCCGGGTGGGCATCATCATATTGCCGCCTATCTTGCGAGAGGTCTGACCAATCCGCCACACGGCTTCAAGCACACACACACATACATGCAGTCCCCCCCATTCCCCGGCATTACCACAGATGCTCCACTGTCGCTGACGCCGGCTTTAGACCGGTTCTGCGGCCGCAGATGGGTTGTGCTATATACGAATATAATATTCTCTTCGCAATAGCGTCACATGGTGGCCGAGCCCATCTTACTCCCTCCGACGCCTGATTGGTCACAAGGGATGTTGCTAGACGCTCGGTTGGCTGTGCAATGCAGCGTCTCCGTGAAATTTCCCGCCGAAAAGCTCACCCCTCGACCAGGAGGGGAGCACTCTTCATCGAAGGCCGGCACGAGGGGGAAGGGCGTGCAGTTCTCTGGTTGTTTTCGCCCGCTCGCTCAGCACGAGGGCGTCATGACGTCCAGAACGAAGGGGCGGCTCTTCTTCATAATGGACCACATGGTCAAGCTATTCTTCTCCGACCTCGTGCATAGAACAAGCGGCCCAGCCACGAAGATTCAACAGTACAGCCGTAGTGCCACCCACGACGTCAACGCCGCCACTCTCTGCACTTCCACAGATTTCCTCCACAACATTAACATCTCCACCTCTGACAAATCGATTACACAACCCCTCCCGCACATACCATGGAACTTCGCTTCGAGAAGAAGCAGGCCAGCACCAGCAGCAAGACGGCCAGCAGCAACAGCGTCGTGGCGCAGCGCTCGCTCAGCGGTGGGCATCGGCGTGTCGGTCGATGGGCCTCGCTGCGGCGCCACAAGCTCCACCCCGACGACGACGACGTTGAAGACGACGACGAGCTCGTGATGCACGTACCAGGCGGCCAGCGCGGCGGCGCCATCCACGGAAGCTTGCGGCACTTCAAGTCCATCCCCTCCAACTCGCCATCGCCAGCTTCGCGAACCGCGCGTAGCGACAAGGTGAAGAAGATGAAGAACGACCCGCCCGAGGCCAAGGTGGACAAACGAGCCAAGCCCAACAAGACAACGAAGAAGGCCAGCAAGACGAAGAAGGCCAAGGAGGCCGAGACCGAGACCGAGGACGAGGAGCCCACCCGAGTACGAGTCGTGCGGGCCTTCGGCCTCTCGCGTAGCGGCAAGCACAAGGTGTCGTCCGACCTGGTACCGCCCAGCAGCACCAGCGGCAGCCACAGCAGCATCGGCAGCAGCAGAGACCAGGAGCGAGCCGCGCCCTACTACTGCGTGGTGCAGGTGGCGCCCGTGGAGATGAAGGGCCAGCCGCCCGTGCGCACCCCGCCCACCAAGAAAACGCCTCCCCTCCTACGCACCACCCTCGAGGGCCGCCTTTGCAACTACGTACGCACTGCTCGCCTTCTCTCTACACTTTTTTCTACTCTTGCGCGCGCGTGACTGACCTGGCGATCGGCGAGCAGGGCGGGCTGCGCGTGGAGGAGGTGGAGTGGGACCAGGTCGTGGAGATACCAAGCGATGGCCCCCAGGAGCTGATCGTCGAATTCCGGTACCGACCCCTTTGCTGTGCCAAAACCACACACAATGCACAAGGCCTTTGGACGCTGGCGATGATGGCTTAACGCTTTATTCCACATGGTTGGTGGCGGCGGCGGCAGGGTGTATGCGCGTCGGAGGTACCTGCCAGATAGGCTGGTGGGGCGAGCCGAGCTCAGCTTGCGGGGCGGCCAACGCGCCCAGCCGCCGAACAAGCGCGCTGTACGCCAGCGCTTCCGCACGCTCGTGCTGGAGAAGGGCGACGCCGAACCCCGCGCGCTGCTCGAGATCATCTTCGACCCGCCCCACAGCCAGCGCCCCGCCCCCGGCTCCCCCAAGCCGTACGCCCCCAATGCCCCCCCCCATTTCATTCTTTGGATTCCATCTCACCAAACAATGTCAGGGAGTGGCCATTCCTGTGTTCGGGCGTGGAGGCCGTGCGTCTGCTGGCCTACGGCCGCGGAGACATGCACCTCGAGCGGAGCTTCCTGGGCATGCTCCCGCCGGAGCTCGTGGAGCGGCTGTGCGAGCTGGTGGAGCGCAACACGGGCTTTGACCCGTTCCGCGACGGCGAGGCCACGCCCGCCGCGCAACGCGATCGCCAGTTCCTGGTCGACACCATGCGCCAGCGCGCCACGTCGGCCACCCACCGGTGGAAGGTGATGCGGGTGCGATCGGTGCCCGCCCACGCGCTCGCGCGTCAGTCCATGGGCGCCACGTCGGCATCGCCGTCGCGGTCTCTGTGCCTTCCCCAAAACGCACTGAGCCCCGCCCGCCCGCGCACGAGCTCGATGGACGTGCAGGCCACGCCCGACGAATCGAGCGGCAGCGTCGCCGCTGTCGTGGGGCCTCCTTCGCCTTTCCTCTCCCGCCCCGTGGTCTCTTCTTCCTCCTCCTCCTCTTCCGCAGCCACGCCGCACCGCTACACGAGCCTCTTCTTCTGGCACCCGCAGGACCTCGAAGACCCCGTCATCGTGCGCGGCAGCCGCCGAAAGGGCTACCTCACCTGCCGGGTACGTCGTAGCGGCCAACTGACGACCTAATCAATTGAATAATTTAGAATCCGACCCGATCCAATCAACTGACAACACGGACTCAGGCTGTCGAGGCGGGCAACGAGCACACGCTGACGGACAAGCACACGGTGTGCTACCTGCAGTCGACCTCGCGATCCGACCAGACCTTTATGATGCGCGAGTTCAAGGAGGCCACCCACAAGGCCTTTGTCTGGAATGAGGTGCGCACCCTTTGTGTCACACCGTGTGCGTGTGCGTGTGCGTGCGTGCGTGTGCGACTTTAGCTCGCGTGACCGGGTCTCACCCATTCCTCGTCGTTCACCCCACTACCCCATCAGGACACGCTGGCGGACTACGTGCAGGCCATCGAGAAACGCCTGCAGACGGTGGCCATACTCGAGCAGCAGCGCCGCATGCTCATCGGCGGAGTTCCCGCTCTGGGCTGCACGTTCGCCATCTCCGTGCCAGGTGCCTTATCTGTTCAACCCCCCCCCATGTTTTATCTCGTGCTGCCTTGTGCTCGCCTCTTCGGCTGTTTGCGCTGCCTCCTGCTCCATGCTCCTCCTCCTCTGCTTACATCCTATGTATCTCTCTCCCACAGCTCGAGCTGTTCACACCGTGCACAAGCGGGGCCTGCGGGAGTACGAACTCGTCAGCGTGTGGTTTGTCGTCATCGATCGGTATGGAAACCGACACAGCTCAGAAAGAAACCGCCTCTCGTGCCCCTTTGCTCACCACCTTGCTATGGCTCTGCACCACTGTTGCAGGTCGTGCTTCCAGTTCCAGTTCACCACGTGCACGCAGAATCCCTCGCAGTCGCTGTGCGCGGCGCTGCTGGCCCACCGCAAGGTCGAGGAGTCCAACTTCATGTGGATGCTCCGCTCCTTCGGCTGGCGACACGAGGTCTACCCACCACGCAACAAGCAAGCCCCGCCCCCGCCGCAGGCCACCACCTCCTCATCATGTAGTTAGTTGTCGAATCTCCACGCAGACGCAAACAACGTCGTGCTTTTTTCCACTCACACAAAACACCACCACCACCACCTGTCCCCTCGCCCGGTTCACTGTTCACCCTCGTCTGGTCTGCTCCTCTTCTCTGGCCTCGCGTCGTCTTCGTCTTCGTCGTCTTCGTCACTCTCGTCGTCGTCATTTTCGTCCATGACCAGCGCGCTCTCGTCCTCGTCCTCCTCGTCGTCATCGTCATCATCGAAGTCGTCCTTGTAGGCGGCGGCGGCGGCCCTGCCCGCTAGCGGGAAGCCCTTGAGCCGCCAGAGGGACTTGCGGTCCTTCTTACCGCCCTCGCTGATGATGGCCTCCTGGATGAACAGCGGATTCGCCGACAGCACGCCCGACACCGAATTGCGCCACGTCGCACGACCCGCAATGTCCTCCTCTGCTCGTTGTGGTGCGTGCGTGCCACGAACAATCACATCATTCACCAGGGTGAGCGGCTCATCTCACTCTCAAGAGAGAGACAAAAGCGACAATCAATCAAAAAGTTGATTTGATGTGCATGAGGAGGGTGCTCGCACTGAAGTGTTCCTGGATGTAGCGGGAGATCTTGGGCTGAGTGGCGGCCCCGCCGAGGGCGCGGAGGGCCGTTTGGATCATCTCCGAATACGTCACGCCCTGCCCGCGCTTCCGCTTATTGGCTGCGGACACACGACAAAAACGACACAAGTCACCACACGATACGGCACCATACGACACCACACGACACCACACGAGTCGGATGCGAAGAGTGAAGGAAGAAGAGTGAAGAAGAAGAAGAAGGAAGAAGAGTGAAGAAGGGGTGCGATACCTGCGGAGGAAGACTTGTGTCCCTTCTTTTTGGGTGCGCCGGTGATGGTACTGAAGTCGGCATCGTCGTGGGCCGCGGCAAAGTGGCTGGTCGGGGTGGAGGAGATGTAAAAGACCTGGAAGTAGACGAGGGTGCCCTGGATGTCGATCGTCGCCGGGTTGGGCAGCGGCACCGGCAGCCCCACCTCCGCGTAACTCACAAACGCGTCGCCCTGCCGCACACGCACTCCTACGCACGCACCAAGCGCGAACCCCATCATCATGAGAACACGGCGGGGGAGGGGGGAGAAAGAGAAAGAGGAAGAGAATAAAACTGTGGAAATGTACCGTTCTTGGAGAGGTTGATGATGCAGTAGCAGCTCAGGCCCCGGTCGTACACGATGCGCGCGTGCACCCGCGAGATCTTGGCGTTGTGCGCGTCCAGCGCCAGGTCCGCGTCCTGCCACCGCGCGAAACCACCACGATCATGATCAGCACTGAGCGCAGTGACGACGTGTGTCGTGTGTCGTGTGTCGTGTGTCGTGTGTCGTGTGTCGTGTGTCGTGTGTCGTGTGTCGTGTGTCGTGTGTCGTGTGTCGTGTGTCGGTACGCGGTGGTGAGGGGTGACGCGGCCGAGGGTGAGGGAGAGCTCCTCCATGCGGTAGGGTCGGAGCGTGGGTCCGCGCAGGATGGCGAAGACCGGGGGCAGGTCCTGCTCGGCCCGCGTCCAGGCGATGTGCTGCAGGATGCGCTGCTGCTTGGCCAGCTTGGCCTCCCGGTCCTTGGCGCCCAGGGGGCTCTTTCGGCGCGCCTCGTCCGACGCCGCACGCAGCTGCCGCCACAGCGGCACCGCCGCACCGCCAGCAGTCGCAGCAGCTCCGTCGTCATCGCCACCGCTGCTGCCGCCGTTGGTGGCAATGTCGGCGGTGGAAGAGGCGCTACGCTCGGCCTCGGCCTGCCGGCTACGTCGGGCACTGAGGCGGGAGGAAGATCGAGGCTGCTGCTTTGTTTGCGAAGACGTAGAGGAGGAAGAGGAGGAGGAGGTAGAAGATTTTGAGACGGTGTAGTACGGGGAATCGTCGACGGGCGCTTCCCCCTCGCCGTCGGCTTCTGGGCGATCTGTGTAGGAGGCGTGCGTCACATCGGAAGCGCCGCTGGCGGTGCCGTTTTCCTCCATCGCCCCCAGCAGCAGCGATACCGACATGTCTCTGGCCTTCGCCCCTTACTTTCTGACAATCAATTCGACCGTTTGATGTGGTGGTCGTGAAAATCGCCTTTCTCAAAACATTTCTTTTGTGCCCTGATCTTTTCCCTCACTTTCAGCCACCTTAAGACAAGCCGACAGAGAGAGACGAGCTCGTTCAACAGGAAAGGGCGACAGCCGGCGGGCTGTGGTATAAATGTACATTACGCGGAGCATGAAGGAAGAGGTGGCCATTGTGGGCCTTGGACTCTATGGCGCGACGACGGCGCTCGTCGTGGGGCTTCTTGTGTGGCTCTACTCGTACCGGTGCTGCTCCGAATGGAATAGCCACGCCCGCCGCCTGCCCTGCTTCTCGCCCAAGAACCTGTTCTTCTTCATTATCTTTTCCTTCCTGCTGTGTACGCAGTGCAGCTCCCCCTTCGCTTTTCATCTTTTACGTCCGAGCTTTATTATTTTTTACTCTACTCCATCTTTTCGTTTTTCTTTTTTTACAATTTAATGAGCACCTTGCTTGTGGGGTTGCATCGATGGATTCTTGGACTTAAATCACAATAATTTTTATATTCATATTTATGGAGGAAAGTTTACGTGGTTTACTTGTTACTGGCAGGCCGGCTGGCATGGCTCGCGGTGGACGGGTGGAGTCCAGAGCACGTCTCCGACTACATTCTCAATCGGGTGGCCTTCGCTCTCTTCTTCACCGCCTTCACGCTCGTCATCTTCTTCTGGTGTGCACACCTACCCCGCTTTTCCTCATTCCCCCGTTCCTGTTCCCGAGATTCATCGTTTGGTGCGCACATGTGTCTCAACTGGCGTGTCCTGCAGGGCCGACACGTTGCACGCGATGCGCAATACATCCGAGCAGCGGGAGGGCGTGTACGACATCGGATTCTTCCGATCGTGGAAAGCCCGCGCGTTCGTGCCCCTCCCCTCCAAACACCCATCCCCCCATTCCCTCGTGTCCCCTCTATCGCTGCCCTGCCCTGCCCTCACTCGCGGTCGCCGTTGTTGTCCGGCGTGTCGTGTCGTTGGTTGTTTGTCATGCAGGGCCTTCATCGCGGTCAATGGGTTCATCTACCTGGGCCAGGTGGCCTTCATCGTTGTCTTCATCGTTGTAGACGACCACAAGCGAGAAGGGAGGCACGCGTACAACGTGAACGTGCTGTCGGTGGTGGCGGTGTTCGGGCTCGTGTGCGTGGCATTCCTGGGCTACGGCATCGGCCTCCTCGTCGTCACGCGCCGGGCCATGAACACCCGGCGCAAGCTCAAGTTCTACCTCCAGGTGCCCCCCCCCCAAAGCCAATCGGCGACGCCACCAATGGCATGCGCGCATTTGGTTGCTCATCGCTGTGTGGTGTGTGTGGTGAGCCAGACGGTGGTGATCACGGTGGTGCTGGTGGTGTGCTTCTGCGCGCGGTTCGCCATGTTCCTGTATCGGCCCATCGCGGACGACTACACGGACCCGTGGGTGTTCGCCGCGCTGGCCTACTGGGTGCCGGAGCTGGTCCCCACGGTGCTGATGGCCGTCGTGCTGAGCCTTTCGCTCCGCCGGCAGATGGTCCTCCGCTACCACACGGAGCGACTCAGTACCTACAGCCGCTTCGCCGCCAAGGGCCTCGCCGAGCCCCTCCTCACCCACGACAGCGACGACGACGACTTGATCATCGACGCCGCCCTGTCCGCGCCCGTCTCCGACTACGACTCTGACTACGACGACCACCGCTACGCCATCAACTCGTCGTGAGAGACTGCTTGCAACACCGCCTGCCGACGGATAGAAAGGGAGAGGAGTGGAAAGGGGGAGTAAACCCGGGTGGCGCCACGCTAGGCTCGCGGCACTCTCGCTCGCTCTTCATCGCTCTTCGTTCTTCTATGGCCGCCACGCGCACGTTTTATAAAACGAAGAGGAACGCGCGGACACAAACGCGCTTCTGTTTTGTTCTCTCGATTCTATTTACAGCAAACGTGCGCTACACACCACAGCCAGTCACTGGTCGCTCACCCCGAACACTCTCTCCAGCGGTTAGTTGCCCGGGATGACGTTGAAGAAGTGGTAGAGCTCGTCGGCGGGCTCGAGCACGCCCACCTCGGTCTCGCAGACGGCGCAGTAGACCGGGTGGTACTGGTCGCCCTCGTACGTACGGGACTCGGTAAGCCGCGCCGTGCACTCGTCCGTGACGAACTGTTCTCACAATAAATACAATTTATCAATTAATAAATACCACATAAAATAGAACAAAAAACATCATATAATAAAATAAAAATAAAAATAAGGCGTACCATGGCGCGGTACTGGCTCAGGTAGACGTCGTGCCGCTGGCAGTCGTAGCAGAGGGGCGTGAAGCAGCACGGGCAGCTCAGCACGGCATCGCTGCGCCGCGGCCGCGTGAGCGGGTCGTTGCGGTCCGACGTCCAGTCGTCCGGCCGTGCCGTCGTACTAGTTGTCGGCTTCTTCTTCGCCCTGGCCTCCTCTTCTGCTCCTTTCGTCGTCTTCGGGTGGTGGTGGCGCAGGTACTTCTCCGTGACCCACAGCTCATCCTTGAGGTCGGCCCCCTCGTCGTAGAACGGACCCGTGGCCTGCTCCTCTCCTCCGTCGGAGCCTCCAGCCTTGTTGGCAACGTGCTTTCGCTTGTTGGCAGATGCTGCTGAAGGTGCCGATGGTGATTGCGACGCAGACGTGGACAACATTACGGAGGTGGAAGAGGAAGAAGAGCCGTCATGGGCGGGGTGATGCGCTGGTGCGGCAGTGGTGCCACAGCTGGCGTAATCCGAATCATCAGTGCTGTCCGCATCGCGCGACCGCCGAGCAGGGTCGGGCAGGAGCTCGTCCAGACGGGCCTTCCACGGGGGCTGCCTTCCTCCGGTGTACAGGCCTGCAAACACTTCACGGGTGTCCACCATCTTTCGAGCACTGGATGCAACCACGGGTGGGCCGTATTTTTCTTGGGTAAGAAATTTCTTTTCTTTTTCTACTTCCAAAAAATGGTGTTGGAATGCCACGTCATGCTGACAGTATCGCGATAATGCACAAGAAGCAAAAAAATAAAGCAACAAAACAAACCAACAACAGAATAGCCTGGCACCTCCACGCACCACGCACCATGGAAGACGACGAAGAGGAAGAAGAAGAAATCGTGGGGTCGTTGTTGTCCTCCCTCGAAAACATACTGCTGCGCGGTACCAACATTTCTCAGGACAAGATGCGCAACCAGAGCGAGAAGGATCACCTGCTCAGTCGCCACACCTCCTTGTACGCCACCTCGCCCGCCCCGTGAAGAGAAACACGTTCTTGATGCTGCCGGCTTCGCGTATTTATCAGAAAAAAAACACATTAATAAATACATTAATAAACACATGAATAAATAATTCACGAGGGCACGTGCGGGGTGGCAGAGCATCAGAGACGTTCGAGAGTGCCGGGCGGAGGGGCTACCTTTCGGGCCACCTCACCAAGCTGGTACGCGCGCCACCTTCCAGCCACGCACCTGCTACGCAGCATTCGCACACACCATCTTGTTGTTGTTGTTGTGACACACCAGGGCCACGTGTACAAGACGTGGCGGCGGCGCTTCTTCATCCTCAACGACGCCAAGCGGCTGCTCTTCTACTACGACGACGCCAAGGTGCTGCAGCACTCACTCCCTCCTTCTTCCCCTCTTGGCCGCCGTCTCTTCCGCTTTTTCTTCCGCTTCGGCTTCTCCGACCGACCGGCGGGACGGTGTCGTTGATCGTGTGTGTGTGTGGCGTGCGTGCGTGCAGACGGGGAACGTGAAGGGCGTCATCGAGCTGGCCGGCGCCGACGTGTTGCGGGACGTCACGCGCGGCAAGGAGCTCTGCTTCCAGATCAGCTACCCGCGCCACCCGCACAAGCGAAGGTGCCCCCCCACCCACCAATCCATCTTCGGAGTGATCGACGTGTCGTGTGTCGTATGTGTCGTGTGTGTTTCGGTGTTAATGGCTGTGCCTATGGGCACCCCGCTAACGGGAGGTGGTGGTGGTGGTGGTGGTGGTGGTGGTGGGTGAGAACAGGTTCCTGCTGTACGCCGAGAACCAGCGGG